TTTGTCACTGTAGAGAAATCCAACTGATTTTTGTATGTTGATCTTGTATCCTGCTACTTTGCTGAACTGGTCAACTATGTCCAATAGTTTTCTAAGTATACTATCATGTCATCTGCGTAGAAGGATAATTTTACCGTCTCTTTGCCAATTTGTATACCTCTTATGTCTTTCTCTTGTCTTATTACTATCGCTAAGACTTCCAATATTGAATAAGAGAGGAGATAATGGGCATCCTTGCCTAGTTCCTGTTCTTAAAGGGAATGCCTTTAACCTCTCTCTGTTGAGAACAATGTTGGCTCTCGAGTTTTCATAAATACTTTTTACTATATTGAAGAAATTCCCCTCTAGTCCTATTTTGTTGAGTGTTTTAATCAGGGAAGGGTGTTGGATTTTGTCAAAGGTCTTTTCTGCATCAACTGATAGGATCATGTGGTTCTTGTTCTTTGCTTTGTTAATATGATGAATTACATTAATTGTTTTTCTTATATTGAACCATCCTTGCATTCCTGTTATGAATCCCACTTGGTCATGATGGATTATTTCTTTGATGCATTGCTGGATTCTATTGGTCAATATTTTATTCATGATTTTTGCATCTATTGAACTCTTTTTTTTTTTAATTCACTCATTGTTGCACATTTTCTTCCCTCCACCTCCCTGCCCCTCCCCCAGTTCATTTTGCAATATACCTTTTGCTCCAAACTGCTGTCATACATATAATACCTAATCATATATTCCTTTTGGACATTTTCCCCCTCATCTGTTCCAAAACAATGTTCACTCTTTCCCTATTCTCCCCTTAGCCCTTCATGTCAGTACTATTTTAGAACAATAGTATTATGCAGTATTTGTCCTTTTGTGACAGATATTTCACTCAGCATAATGTCCTCCAGGCTCACCTATATTGTTTCACGAGTTCACTGTTTTTCTATGTGTATAATATTCCATTATGTGAATGTACCATAGTTTTTCCATCCATTCATTTGTTGATGGGCACTTGGCTTGCTTTCATCTCTTTGCTACTGTTAATAATGCAGCAATAAACATGGGTGTGCATACATCTATTTAAGTCATGGCTTTGGCTTCTTTAGGGGATATTCTGAGCAGAGGAATTGCTGGGTCAAATGGTATTTCTATTTCCAACTTCTCGAGAAAGGGCCGGACCACCTTCCATAGTGGTCGTACCATTTTACATTCCCACCGGCAATGAGTAAGAGTTCCAATCTCTCCACATTCTCAACAGCATTTTTTGTCTGCTGTCCTACTGAACTTTGCTATTGCTAATGGGGTGAAATGTCATCTCATGGTAGTTTGTAGAACCCTTTTTAAAAGGAACACATTTATACTCGCATGAATCCCCAGAGAAAAATTATTTTCATAATTATTTAACTTAGTCTGCAGGGACTTGTGTCGCTAACCCAAAGGCAGTAACCACTCTGCCAGTTCAAATCCACAAATGGCTAAAAAGGAGAAAGATGAGCAATCTCATCCCATGCAAATGAGCCTCCAAAAACTCATTAAAGGGTCAGCACTAAATCAGTTCTGACTAACAACGGGTTTTTTCCAATGAGATTAATAAACATTAAAATTAGGCATAAATTTCTTCTGTACTGATAACACACTTATATAATACCAAGTAACACTTAAAAAGACCAAAAAGGTATTAAATTAATTGTATTTTCCTAACACTGTCATCACTGCTCTTCTGAATTTGGCATGCTAATCACATTTCCTGTGATGACTCAGATTTTCCTTGTTTCTTGGTTTGTGAAATTGTTGTAAAAGACCATTACATATCAAATCAATTCTTGTTCAGTACTAATAATCCAACTGGGTACCAAATATAGTTGGGTAATTTTATAGTAAGTTGTTCTTATTATTAGATTTTCCTCTAATGAAAATGCAATTTTTTAAAATCATCTTGGAGAATTCTTAGAAAATCAAGAGTATGTTAGAGGTTCACAAGTTGAAAAATAATTTATACAGAAACATCAAGTTTATAAAGAAATATGAAGGTTAAAATAAAAGTAAAATATGCAAATGGAAAAGTAACACATATGCAAAACCCCCCAGGACTCATCCTAAGAAAATTCAAAGGAAAAGTTCATGAAAGTTAATCAAAGACTTCATTGAAGGAACAGAAGAACAGAACTAGAAAATGTATTCATATTTAAAGGATAAAGAAAACTAAATATTCAGTAATAATTTCAAGGTTTGCAACTTACTAGGAGCCCTAGTGGCACTCAACTGTGAATCCAAAGGTTGGCAGTTTGAATTAGTTCAATGTTATGGGTCAAAATCAATTCAAAGGTATCTAACAACATGTTTACTAAAATTCTATTTTAAGAAGTAAAAAACTTAACATTAACCATATTTTAAATACTCTATAGTATCATATAACACATTGGGGGCAAGGGGGGAAGGGTTAGCTATCCAGATTAGTCCCAATGGCAAAGATAAGGTGTCAAAAAATTATCAGTAGCTTCTAACTGAAACATATCCTACACATCTGTTAAGTTACATACTCTAATATACAAGAGATATACAAGTTAGTATTTCACATGGCTCCACTGTCCTAACTGCCCATTACAAACTGATTTATAGAAATTCAATTTACATGTGGAAAGACTGAGTCACATAAATATACATTGTAATCCAAAAGAAAATATTTACCCAGTAATAGATTAAAAAATAAAGACATTCTATTACCTCTTCTTCATTCTCATCTTCTTCTTCAAGTGCATGTTTCAAATTCATTTCATTCCTTTCTCCTGGAATTCTATCATTGTTTATATACATGTTCTTTCCAAATTTTATATTATTTTGTTTCTGCAGAACTACACTGAAAGTTTTCTGCTGCTGTGCCTATAATGAAAGAAGAAAAATAATGACTATTTCAAAATGCATTAAGATAAAAAGCAATTAAAATCTGTGTTAATAATACTTTCCTTTAATATGTAAGTATAAGTTCTGTAGTGCTGCCCCATTTTTAAATTCAATGATTTTTCTTCCTGTTTAAAAACATTTTTATAGAGGTTTATCTATTTTTAGAAAATGTAAGACCTGACTTGTGGCTCTGTTGATCATTCCTATTTTATTTTGTTTTCTACTGTAGTAGGTTTACTTCTCTCCTTGATTATATCTTTTCTTCTACTTTCTTTGAGTTTAATTGGCTGTGTTGTTTCTCTAGCTTCTTGAGAAAGGTACTTAGATCATTAATCTTAACTTCTTGCCCAAACGAGAAGGGAAGCTCTGGTGGCCTAGTCTTTAGGGAGTTGCACAGATAACTCAAAGACTGTGCCTCTCTGGCAGTTCAAATCCACCCACGGCTTCCACAGCATAAATAAGGGATATCTCCTCCAAGTGATTTGCAATTTCAGAAAACCCCATGGAGAGTCAGCTATGAGTTGCTTCCAGAATGTGGCAGAATGAAGAGCCCAACCCAGGTCCTGGCCAGACTCAAGTTGGCTCTCGGGCCATGATAGAGGCACCACTGCACCACTGGCCATTCTGCCTATCTTGCCATGACCTCCAGGGTTGATTCAAGGTAGTCATTGAGAAGTCTGAGCTAGGTGAGTGTTAGAAGTGTCCACTGGCTACAGCAGGATAAATCCAAGCAAAGGTAGGACACTACAAGGCCTCTTCTATGCACTATCTCTGGGTTTGCACTGAAGGGAAGAAATGGAGCCAAGTGGTAACTACAGGTTTGTAACCAATAATTCTACATTCCTGTAGGGGCTAGAAGTCTGAGCTCAAGGTGTTGACAGCCATGCTGAAGGATCAAGAAAAGAATTCTCTCTTGCCTTTCCACTGATTTTGGTTGTAGCTGGCAATTCTTAGCATTCTTTGACTTGCGTTGTTACCACCTCACTTTCTACCTCCATTTCAATATGGCCTTCTTCACTCCTGTGCATATCTCTGAGTCTATCTTTATCAGGGTAAAAGTTAACTAGGTTTAGGGCCCATTCTAATCCAGTATGACTACATCTTAATTTAATTGTATCTGCAAAGATACTATTTTCAAAAAAGTCACATTCATCAAATCCACCAGATGCTCTGCTGGAGAAGGAGAGATAATCTCCTCTTGTACCAGTCAGATCTGCTTTGATGGCACACACAAAAAACAACAAATTTAAAAAAATTTTTAAAAAGTCACATTCACAGGAACAAATCCTTCCCGGAGACAACCCTATCTACAAATACAGAACCACACTCACCTCTATCACTATACATTTCTAGCTCCCCAGAAAGTGCCTTTAAAGTCTTCCGAGGCTATATGGCTCCCAGAGGCAATCAATGTTCAACTTTTTTCCACCCTAAATTAACTCTGCCTGCTTTAGAACTGTATATAAACAAAATAATACTGTGTGCTTTCATGTGTCCACTTCCTGGAGGTCAGCAGACTGTATAAAATATGTATACATATTGTTCCATATACATATTTGGTGATTCAACTCTTTTAATTGCCATGTAGCCAACTGTATAAATATAATTTGTGCATATATTCTCCTTCAGATAACCATTTAGATCCCTCTCCTCCCAGATTTGGCCACTATGAACAAAGCTAACACAGACATCACTAAGTACACTGTTTTAACTTTTCATTGTGAAAATATGTTTTCATTAATTTCCCTAGGAGGAAAATATCTAACTCAAAAGGCAGGGTATATACTGACTTTATAAAGGTCAAATTTTTTACACTGTCTTTTTACTACAAAGCTACAGAAGTTTTCAACTCAAAGCTAATTTTTTTTAAAATAAAAGAGAACAATTTAGGACCTTTGCATAGAAGTGCTTATAATTGCCTGTAATACTGATATTTCTTTTGTGATTTTAACAAAAGTTTACAGAAAAGTTGGATTTTCATTCATGCATTGTTGCACATTTTCCTCCCTCTCCCTCCATCCTCCCTTACCCTATTCATGTGGGGGTTTTTTTATTTACTGTTATTTCCTCCCTCCCCTCCTTTATTCCCTCATCCCTCCCCCAGTCCACTTTGCTATGCACCTCTTATTCTGGACTGTTCTCATATATGCAATGCCTAATCATATATTCCTTTTAAACAGCTTTTCCCCCCTTCATTATCTATCTCCTACTAATTTCTTTCCAACACCTCATAACACTGACATCTTTAAAGTTTGTTTTATGCTATATTCTACTGCTGGTAAGGATTATAGTAACATCACATACATGAAAAAATTTGCTGAGTTTGGTTAGTGAGTACTTGATGAATTCAAGCTGGCTTGACTTTACTTAAACAAGGAATAACCACAAATCCAAAGAAAACCCTGGTGAAACCCATTCTTATCTACAATTTTTAAAAAGTATATATGATGGCAAAACTAAGGATTTTATATAAGTAAATAAGACTAAACTCTGAATACATTCTATTTCCTAGATTATGAAATAGCATTAAATTAAAACTTCCTTTAAAATCTCACCTGTTTCATAGCTGTTTCACCTATTTTGTCAGAGTGTTTTCGAATACTTTCCAAAAAGTCCTTGAGATCAGACATGGAGATTTCTTTAATATTTTCACGTAGTTTAGGAAGATTTTCTACCATTAGCTGACAAAACCGGTATTGACTAACGCGCGGAAAGTACACATTCTCTAACTGTTCCATAGTTTTTAAAGCAGAGTAGTACCTGTCAACATTTAAAAGTGTATAAAAAGTTATTAATTTTACAAGTCCAAATAAGAATTCAATTTCTCATTCTCATCAAAAAAGATATGTTGTTGTTATGTGCTGCTGAGTCACCTGAGACTTAAAAGCGACTCTCTGAACAACAGCTCTGAAGCCTGCCCTATTCTGAGCTAATGTCACTGACTCCAATATCCCTACTCCCACTGCCCCAGTTACTGTCAATTCATCTCATCCAGGGCCTTCCTCTCCTGCACTGTCCTTCCACCCTTCCAAGCATGATGTCCTTATCCAAGGACTTTTCCCTCCTTGCCACATGCCCAAAGTATGTTGGACAGACTTCAAAATCCTAGCCTCCAAGGACATACTTGGTTCCATCCTCTCCAAGACAGACTATGTGTTTTCTTGGCGGTTCAGGGTATGTTCAAGATTCTTCTCCAGCACCACAACTCAAAGGCATCAGTTCTTTTTCTGCCATCCTTAGTCACTGGTTAGCTCTCTGATGCATAGTAAGTAAGTGAAAAGACATGGCCTAGATCGGGTGCACCTAGTCTCTAGACTGACAAAATTGCTTCTCAGTACTCTGGAGAGGATCCTGACAACACAATTTTCCCAGTACAATTTGTCTTTTGATTTCCTGACTGCCGGTGTTAACACTATTGACTGTGGAGCTAAGCAAGCTGTAATTGTCAACAACCTTATCATGGTGCTACCAGTTGGCCCAGTGGTGAGAATCTTCTTTGATGTTATGCTTCAATCCATACTGAAGGCTGCAGTCCTTGATTTTCTGTAGCAAGTGCTTCAGGTCCTCCTCAGGTCCAGCAAGTAAGATTGTGTCATAGGTTGTATAATGTAGGTTGTTGGTGAATCTTCCTACAATCCTGATGCCACATTACTCCTCATAAAGCCCAGCCTCCTGAATGATTATTCTGTGTATAGATTGAAAAGGTATGGAGCATCCCTGACACACTCTTTTCCTGATTTTGAACCATGCAGAGTTTCCTCGCTTTGTTCTGAGGACTGTTTCCTGGTCCAAGTATAGGTTTTGCATAATCACAATCAAGTGTTCTGGGATTCCCATTCTCCTCAAGGTTAACCATAATTCGTTGTGATCCACACAGTCAAATGCCTTTGCAAAGTCAATGAAACACAGAGAGACATTCCCCTGGTACTCTGCTTTTAGCCAAGATCCATCTAACATTGGTGATAACGTCTCTAGTGCCACAACCTCTTCTAAACCCAGCCTGTATTTCTGGTAGTTCTCTGTTGATGTACTGTTTCAGTTATTTTGGGATAAGCTTCAGCAGGATTTTGATTACATATGATATCAATGATATTTTTCAGTAATTTCCACACTGTCGGATCACCTTTTTTTTTTAATGGGAATAAAAATGGATCTCTTCCAGTCAGTCAGCCAGGTAGTAGTTCTTAACACTTACTTCTATTAAGCACAAACTATAAATCACAAGCTGTCCACAGAATGAAAATTCATGGTTTACATTAACATATATAACGTGTTTCAGTTACTCTATTTTATCTAAACCTGTAGCATCATGAGCATTACCATAATCATTATAATAAATTTAAGAGCGGTAAGAAGCTGTGCTGCAATCCCGAAGGCACGCTGTTTGAATCCACCAGCTTTTCCATGGGTGAAGGATGGACAATCTCCTCCTGTACGAATGATTAACTGCCTCTGAAAATCCACTGGAGAGTCAGCTATGGTTCAATGCCGACTCAACAATACCCACCACCACCACCATAAAGTTTACTTATTTGATGTATGATTTCATAATATCTCTTCCAGTCTATAGACCATTATCACTAAAAATGAATCATAGTACTTTTAAAATTCTAATTATACTAGAACTTAAAGGACTTTTTGAAAATGTACACTACTACTTAAGGCAATTAGAAACAATATTCTATCTCTAAAAGCCAGGTAAGCTAAAGTGCTGGTAGATCATTAAATTAAATACTCTCTATTATTAAACTAAATACTCTCTATTTGGCATTGTTTGACATGCAAGAAGTTGATCTGATTTGATTTTGGTTTTGTGGGCTTCTCTTTTTATGACATGCAAGAAGTTGTAACTACAGTTAAAAGCATGAGGCTCTTAACCCAACGTTTAGTAGCCTAGCTCTACTAGCCTTTTTAAAGGAAAAAGATGGGGCAGTCCACATCTGTAAATAGTTAAAGCCTTGCACAGCTTCTGCAGGAGTTCTACTCTGTCCTACATAACCACCATTAGTCAGTCAGAACTGACTTGATAGCTGTGAGGCTTTTTATGTATAACATGTTACTCATGCCATAATTTGTACTGTACAGGAGGGCTCTAGAGAAAGCTACATAAGCTTTCATGTACATTGTTTTTTGTCAGGCTTTTATGAAGCAGAATAGGACAGCAGATGTTACTATTAATATTCTATGGATGAAAAAACTGAAAAACAGAGAAACAATATACAGTTTGGCCACACCATGGTTAAATAATAACAGGATTACTATTTTCCAAACTTGCCACTTTCCTAAAATATTGACCACTATAAAATCCATCTAAGAGTAGATGCAAGATTTTTAAAGGAGTCTCTGTGTAGTTAAAAAAAAAAAGAGGCCTCTGGTAGCAATAACACATAATGCATTGGGCTGCTAAACAAAAGGTCAACAGTTCCAATCTACAGCCACTCCACAGTGGGAGCAGTCTTCTCCAAAAAAGATTAGCAGCATCAGAAACCCAACAGAGGGTTGCTATGAGTCAGAATCAGCTCAGTGTCAGAATTTGGTTTTTGAGTTTGGGTGGTAAACATGATTAAGTATTCTGCAAACTAAAAAGTTGGTAGTTCAAATACACCCCTAGGTGTCCTGGAAGAAAAGTATGAAAATTTAATTCTGAATGGTCACAATAAAAATCCTATGGACAATTTTATTCTTAAAGCACATGACATCATCACAAATTGGAACAGATTTGACAATAACTGGCTTGATTATTTTGGTGGGAGGAGGACTTTTTTTAAAAAAACATGAAATAATAAATTCCCACTGAATTGATATATATTCATATTGTTATTAAAAATGGAAAAAATCACTATCTAAATAAAATACTATGTAAGTAAATTAAAAATGTAAATTAACTTAAAAGCTATTTAAAAATACTGGTTTGCTAGCTTATATTCTCAAAGATGGAGTGAATTTTGAAAATTGCTTTTTTAAAATGTTGTTCTGTGTTGTCGAGTTGCTTGTGACTCATAGTGACCCTATGTACAAGAGCCCTAGCCACTGCTCTATTCTGTGCCACCCTCGCCATCTCTGACACACTCATTCCCACCACCCAATCACAGAATTGATCATCTCATCGATCGAGGGTCTTCCTCTCCTGAACCATCCCTCCACTATCCCAAACATGATATCCCTCTCCAAGGACTGGTCCCTCCTTGCAACATGCCCAAAGTATGTCAGATGAAGGAGCACACCAGCTTCACTCTCTCCAGGACAAACCTGTTTGTTCTCCTAGCAGTCCATGGTATATTCAACACTCTTCTCCAGCACCACAGCTGAAAGGTATAGATTCTCTTTCTATCATCCCTATACACTGTCCAACTCTCCGATGCATAGCATGTAATTGTGAAGACTATAGCCTGGATTATG